GTACAACGGCCGAAAGGTTGCAGTAAATATGACGAGAAAGATAAGGACAATAGTCCGAATAATGTAAATAGTGTGCATAATAACTCATCTCAACACAAATATAGACAGATTATCATTTTCTTTAAAGTTTTCTCGTTGTTTATATTTTCTGTCTATTTTTCTTAAACCCTTTCAGCATCATTGCCTTCTCTCTGTAGAACCGTATCTATGTTGCCTCAAATCTCGTCTTCATTTGAGATAAAACTGTCTAGCATTCACTTCCACAGCGGAAAAGTGATATTACGTAGCATTTCAACAGTGTTTGTTAGTTTTTCTAATGAATTTTCCTATTTCATTTTACGAGGGTTCTTCAAAAAATTCTAAGCCTCACCCAGAAAGAAAAAATAGATCTGAATATTTTTGTTATGGCAAATAATTCAGATTTCCCTCTTAATTTCCGTGCAGGTGTGTCCCATACAAAGGTGAGAGGTGTGCGACAAATCTAGAACAGATACCCGAGCATTCATAATTTATCTGCAAAAGAAAGGTGTAGCACCCAAGGAGATCAATGAGGATATGGTTCAGACATGTGCTGAGGATTTTCCTTCCTATGCAACTGTAAAGAAGTGAGCTGCGAAATTCAAGCCAGGCAGGAACGGCACAGATGATAACCCTCAAGTCGTCCAAAAATATCAGCTACTAGTGAACAAGTCGATACCATTCATTGTATTGCTTCGGATTACAGACGTCTTACTGTCCAGCAGATAGCTAAGGCCGTAGACATTAGTTTTGCATCAGTTCATTTTGTTTTAACTCAGATATGAGCAAGATCTCTGCAAGATGGGTTCCAAGAACGCTGACACCAAAGGAGAGGCTGAAAAATGTTGATATTTCCAAGACACTTCTGATTAGCGTCCAAGCTGACCCATAGAATTTCCACCACAGATTAGTAAACCTGAACCAAACGTTCAAAGCAAACAGTGGAAACACTCTGGTTCTCCGCCCACAAAGAAACTCAAGCAGGATGTCTGTTGGCAAGTTTCTTTTTTGTTGGTTTCTGAGAGCGTAATCGGAGACAAACCCGTCTTCCGCTATAGTTGGGTGTCGAGAGCTGTAGATCATTCGCAAGTTCTTTTTTTTTTTTTTTTTGCTCGCAAGCAGTGTCCTGCAAAGCGAATTCTCCGTTCGCATAATATTGGAGAAATATCAGGGATAGGTTCATAACCTAAATCAGATTAAATCCAGTATCTTACTTTCTCGACAATGGAAATAAAATTTTACCACTTTTCTTTGTTAAAAAGAATAACATCGCTTAGTGTCCTTTTCGTGATGGCTTCTTATCACCTAAATTTAATTCTCGCCTTTCTTTTTTTTCTTCTTTCTTTCTAGCGACCTAAATAGTGTCACAGTTGGAAGTTGTCGCCAAGAGATGTTAAGTATAGCTATCAGTATCCATCAAGCTTAGACTCTAGGGTTTTAGTTAATGTCCAAAAACAGTGGCACCCACAGTAGTTATAAGGAATCTCTGCTTAGAGTATTTAAATCAGTTAAAACTAGGACTCTGCACGTCTATACATTTTTGATACCTTGTTACAAAATTATTTGTTCCTTTATAATAAAACTGTAAAGGTTTGGACGCCAAGAAATCTTTGAATACAGTTTCTACATCTTTGCACCGAAATGTCTTTTGGCTTAAATAATTTTCAAGTGATCAGATGAATATGAGGTCTGCAGCAAAGACTCGAATTCCAAGGAGGTGTACCACTGCATTGTCATCCTAGCAACACATAACCGTGCATTTTCATGAAGCAGAATTGACCCGAGGAGGCACGGTGGAGTACTGCATAGCGGATCGTATTGAGGAATCGGAGAGTCGAGTTCGAATTCCAGCCGAATCCATTACATTCACTTACATGCTAATAACCTTGTAAAAAGTATGAATCCTCTTCTTCTCCCCCCACCCCATCTAGGGCGAAATAAACTTAAATGGCAAATGGCAAATGGCCTACAGCAGAAAGAAATGGCAACCTACTACGGGAAAAATCTGCCTCGTCCGTCATGTATCGAAAGCGAGATTAGCCAGTGCCTGTTGCACATTGCTTAACTGAATGTGTATTTGCTGGCAGAAAATTTTGGAAGCGATGCTCTGGTTAGATTTAAGAAAGCTGTAAAGAATAACGCCAATGGCAGATCACCAAATATTCGCCATACCTTTCTGTTGGTACAATCTCGGTATTGGAAATGTTTAGGTGCTTCGCCATGATCAAGCAATTGAGCAGATCTCATAACAAGTCAGTACTGGATCAAGAAATCAATCATTCGAATTTCGCAATTGCAGCATTGAACATACTTTAAAACATCGGATTGTTTCACTTTCACCGATTTTCATGTGGAACCCATTTATCAAGGTTCTTCGCTTTACCAATGATGAGCCAACATTGTTGAAATGCTGACACTCATTGTCTGTGATAATTCTTTGACACTTTGACGTGGGTTTTGTTCGATTAGGTTTTTTTGATGTTGATTGTCATTTGCAGATGAACGTCCTCTACTACCATGATCATCAAGACTCGTAACTGCGGAACTTCAGAAACCAGCGTCCTACTCTCCGATGTTGTTGTTTTATGTCCTTTGATTTCTGGTGTGTACGAAATTCTTTCCGGGTCCCGCCCAGAAACGTATAGTTAGAAATGTCATGACATTTTCCACTGACCAATTAAAAAAACAAAACATATTTTATATAGATAAAGCCTTTCGTAAAGTATGGGCCGTACTTGTGTGAAAAAACTTTTTTGTATTTCTTTAAGGCATGAGCTTCCAGGAATAATTTCAATGAGTCTGCTGGGATCTTTTCCAACTAATCCGAGGGCTCAATCTACAACCGGGATTATTGATGTGCTAAGTTTTTGAGATTTTGATTTCAAGGTACTTGTATTTTGATAGCTTTTTGAAGATCTTTCAAGGACCTTTTATTTTGATAGTTTATTATCATTATTATTATTATTATTATTATTATTATTGCGAGCTGTGTTCGCAACAATTTTTACGGTTTTCCTCTTTAAATTTTTTGAGGAATCGTAATTCTTAAGTTATTAATTGAATAAGCTACTTCGGTATTTCGCGACTGTAAAATATTCTTGGAAATACTTGTATTGTATCATTCAGTATTGGGGATTAAAGTTTTAACAAAATATTGCAAACATGTATATGACGGCTGGATATTAACAAATAGGTAAGAGCGTAAGAATGAAAAGATACAAAATTGACATGTTTTTAATTTCACTGAGGCAGACGTTAAACGTATTAGTGTATCATCTTACTTTTCTTTCTTTCTTTCTTTCTTTCTTTCTTTCTTTCTTTCTTCGTATTATTATATAGGCTTTCTTCCCCACTCCCAAGACCAAACAGTGTCTCATATATAACCTTTCCGTCTTTCCTCGTAATCAAAACAGAATGGTCTATTATTTATCTGAGGTAATGGTAAGGCGTAACGTACGTGGTAACTGACGAACAAGCATACTTATTATTATTATTATTATTATTTTATTATTATTATTATTTCCGGTACGTGTCAATCTTTCCTTTCCGTCACGATAGCTCTGGAAAAAAGTAATGTTTTCACTCGCCATATCTTAAGCGCCATGCCGGAAATTGCTATCGGATGGCGGTTAGTGCACTGCGAAAAACTTCCCCACACTTACTCTGCTGCTGTTGCTTTCAACGCGTTCACCGCCCTTCCATTCCACCGCCGCCTCCATCTCATATATCATCAGTTTGGCTTTATTGTCGGTCTTAGCATGTTCAGAAGCTGCCATTTGCAAAACATTCTCTCAATGAATTCAAACAGAAAAGTATTTGCAGGAATATTTAGCGTACAGTAGAAGAAGCATGTGTTAAGTTCTATTAACCGTAGCACCAAATGGCAGCTTGGTTAACAGCCTGAGAAACGGACTGAGCGTAGCAAGTTCGAGTGCCAGTCTTGTCTGTATACATCACTTTTGTAAAACCGAGGAATCAATGAAAGCAAATCTCCTTGTTTTCTATCCCATCGCTGGTCATCTTGAATATTTTTATATATAAAGCAAGTTTGGCGAATTGAAAGAAGGGATTCACTACTGTTTCCATCACTTGAGAAAGGCGTTTTACTTTGGTTTGGTTTGTTTTACGGCATATCAACCTCTATGCGTTATTTAATACCGACAAGATTTTTATTGCTAGTAATATTTTTTCTTCAAAAATGTATTTCTACTAATATATTTTTCGTAAAAATTATATTGCTGGTAATATTTTTTTCCAACATGCAAAGTTGGTAATATTTTTTCCAAAAATGTATTGTTGGTAATATTTTTCCAAAAATGTATTGTTGGTAATATTTTTTCCAAAAATATATTCCTGGTATTTTACTAAAATGCATTTTTGGTAATATTTTTTTCCAAAAATGGATTTCTAGTAATATTTTTTTCCAAAAATGGATTTCTAGTAATATTTTTTCCAGAAATGCATTTCTAGTAATATCTTTTTCCAAAAATGCATTTCTAGTAATATTTTTTTCCAAAAATGTATTGCTGGTAATATTTTTTTCTTCAAAAATGTATTGCTTATTTTTTCTTCAAAAATGTATTGCTAGTAATTTTTTACTAAAATACTTTTAGCTGGTATTAAAACCTATTTTTACACTTTCATTCCGTTTTGACTCCAGTTTGTGGTTTAAATATTTGCCCATACCTAGGATCCTGACAGGTGCTACTACCAGCCTCAGGGTGGACCTGGGAACATCAGAAACTAAGAGATGGTTCCACGCTCCTCAAAACCTTTGGAGGGCATCAACGAATATGATGAGAATAAATATACTACAATTTCTGAGAGAATAAGTGAACTACAACGCATGAGAGAAGAGTTAGTGATCAACAGTTTCTGAGAGGAGAATACGTGGACGACAGATGCTGAGAGGAGAATAAGTGGACTACAGTTGCTGAGAGGCTAGTAAGTGGACTGTAGTTGCTGAGAGAAGAATAAGTGGA